GACGTTTTTAACCACATGTGTGTAGTCCGCTCCCTGCTAGATTGCAACCACTATGGCTACCTCACCCCTGGAGGATTTTTTTACTCCCCCGTCCTCCACCACAACGCCTCCCCTGACAACGACGAGTCCTGGGGCCCTCAGTGGGAGTGGATCTTCCATTTCGAAGCTATAGTCGACCTTTTTTGCACCCACGTCGGACTGAACAATTTCCGTTTCTGTCTAACCCGCAAGATCGCTGGAGTGCATTCTGGTTATCTCTACCCAACCCTCACCCTCTCCAGCGTATGGACGCCTACACGGGCAGCCTGCCTGCCAGCCGACATCACCTTGAGCGTGTCTATACCGCTCGTGCAAGGGGCAAGGATAAGAAGGAGCGCACAATCTCATTACCAATATTCCCGAACGTCGACGAGAACACGCTATACCCATTGTTCCCTCCCCCCACTTCTGACGCCCCTCTTCGACATACTCTAAGCACTCGGCGCGACTGTCCGGAATTGGAGAGCCGCCACGACTGCACTCCGTGGGAAGGATTTGACAACCTTCCACCCACCGTCGCCCCTCGAGGTGTGCCTCCGTTCGACCTCCTCGCACAACAAACCTACGGCCGAGGCAGCATTACGGGAACCAGCAGAAGTGGAAGTGGACGCGGGCATGAGCGCGGACACGGTGGAGAGGGACCCAGCAGAGCAGGACCCAGTGGAGGTGGACTCGGTGGAGACGGACACGGCATGGGCGGACAGGACCAGGACGGACATAGCGGAGGAACCAGGGAGACCAGACAGGACCCTCCTAGTACCCATCACCAGCCCTCTCAACCTGGCAACAATATTCCTCCGCCTATTCCTGTCGATCAGGCATTCCGGATGTACGAGGAGTACGCTAGAGGCCGGCCGAGCAGGCGTCGTCCTAACCAGACTCACCACCGCCCAACCTCTCTCTGAACACCTCGCCTCCTCCGGAACAGATGCTGACTACGCTACGAGCGCCGCAGGATATGTGCTGGATATCGACTGGACGCTCCGGGAACAGCACTCCCAATCCCTGGCTCATCTCGCCTTAGACAGCAGTCTGGCCGTTCGTCGGACCGGCAGCTTTTCACTGGCTCGGCCTCGTCGTCCGCATGTCAACATCCCCTTCCGCAGCTCATTTCCCTCCTCTTACTCCATCTCCAATCACCCCTGTTCTCTCATGCTGCCAGGGCCCGATACAAGTCTTGGGGCCCAATTTCCTCGTGTGCCAGTCACCGAGGAATACTTGGAGCGGCATAGTCATTGGCGCCTCGGATTACAAAGCTCTACCTGGTCAGCTCAAGAAACACGTGAGCAGGACGACGGAGGTTGGAGGGATCCGGCCGACGAGATTGAACGGACAGTTCACAACCGCTCTGTCGGTCTTATTCAAGATGAGCAGGTTGTAGTCCAGATGGTCAACCATCACGGCGCACGTGGAACGATCTCCTCTGGAGTGTCCGTGACCGTGATGATCCAACGCCATGGAATACTCGACGGGACGCTCAGCTTCTCACTCCGAACAGATTGCGACACTGGGCCAAACTGCACAAGCGGAGGAGCTCATCACAGGTGTACCCTTTGGGCGGTATTCCGGGGGTTACTTGGTTAGGCCGGTGCGAATCGGACCTCTTTCTCTCTTGCCAGAGACTCCTTCGGACAGAGTTGGCGCTATTCCTGATTCACTTTCTGTTTTATCTTTTGTTCTTGCACGTGCTCGTCGGAGCCGTGAAAGGGAAGCTGAACTGGGAAGGGGAGAATAGGGTGGCACGCGTTCGTCTCACTCCGGTACATTGGTCTACGGAATTGTCACTTGCTTTTGGTCTTTTATCTCTGTACAATATTTCCCTCATATGCATTTCCCCCTCGCTTGCTATGTATTGAACGAACAATGTGGTACAAAGATCTAGCACTATATCTCTGCATCATGTATGTCACTGTGTACACACTGCTCACTATTGATTCTGCTTTTTGGCAAAGCAGGCGAGACCCTTTCAGGCTGCTGTAGTTTATATTACAGAGACCAAGGCATTGATTATTAATTCTGCTGAAATGCAATCAAAGTTCACTTGATGTGCCCTGTGTTGAGGGTTCTGCACGGCCGATGCGTGAACAGACAGAGTACTCCGAACATAGCTCTACCTGTTCTGGTCTCACACTCTCTCTTGGAAATTCTTGTGCCTGCTCTTCTACCTTTCATGAGTAATTGAAAAAAAAGATCTCATAAAAAGATGGCTATATCTTGCTGTCACGCATCCTGCTTTTTCATATCCACAGCAAAGCAGGTAGATGGCTTTCAGTGTGGTTGTGGTTGCAGAGAAGGCATCAACGAATTATTAAAAGAACTCTGAAGATGTATGGAAGCATCACACATACCTATAGATTGCATAGAACACAAATGTGTCGGAAGGACATGTGTGTATCAATGCTCACTTGGTTTGGATTGTGTATGGCCTCATAGCATATAAAACACGTAAATGTAGTGTTGTACAGTGTGTATTACATTAGTTGTGCTATAGAAGTTCTTTACCAAGCACTGCTTGAAGGGAGGAGCTCATAGTTTCTGAAAACAACTGCCTATGTTTGCATCGCTTCTATGAGCGCCTATGGATGCCCGAGAACACCGGACCGCTGTCTGTTAGCCTGTGCAGCTTCTCCAAAGCTCTGAAAGCCAGGGCCTAATAGAATAGGCTATATATAAAACTGCAGTACACATTTTATGACACATACAGACGATGCCGGTACCGGTAGGGGTGCAGGTAGAGCGCAGGTATGTCTGTCTCCACCTGTACTCGTCCCTGTGTGGCATACCCAACCTGAGGGTATCACTGGTGGTTAGATCATGGTGCAGTAATGAAGCAAGAAATGCGCAATAAAAAAGTGCAGGCAGGGTCAGGGAAAGTGCTCTGGAAGATCTAAGCGACATATCAGACGCATGGTACTCTGACATCACGTGTTTCCTGCTGAACGACAGCACTGCTCAAGTACACTCAAGCAGAATAGTTCTTAATATAAATTCAGAGCGTGATCACGAGGAAATAAATCTCAGTTGATACTGTATTAATGGCTAGATGTACTATAAACCATGAATCGGCACACCGGACTTCTACTCACCCATCGACACATCAGCCTGAGGTACAACCGCACTCCCTGGTAAGCCGCCATCCTCCAAGCGCATGCGCTTTAACGCAACCTCAGCGTCATCTTCGTCGCTCTCCCCATACCCAACCTTTCGCTTCATCAGGCGCCGGGGAGACTTGGCTCGCTTCGTCAAAACGGCAATTGACGCAAGATTGAAATCCTATAAACCCATCAGCAGGCATCCCGGAGTTCTGACGCATATTACTCACCCTCTCAACAGCCCGGTCTAGAACACAAATTTAACGAAGCTTGGGAACAAAAACGTACTCCTGACGGGGGAGGCGGACAACTGTAAATGCGATTTGCAGCTCGACGAGGTTGGAGATGTTGATCTGGTGAGGGTTTATTTTCGAGTACGTCGCCCTGAAAAAAGTTAGCTGCAGCGCACTATAAGATAACCAAGTACATACTTGGAGTTCTTCACAGTGCGCTCCCAGTACTGGACGGTGTTGTCGGTGGTGTGGACGTGATCGCGCAAGACCAGACAAAGGACGTTAAAAGGGTCAACCACGTCTGCCAAGTCTACGACCTCATTATCGGCAGCTTCCTTCCCCCTGCTAAGCAGACGATTACCGAACTGGATAGCAAGATGTCCAGAGCGGTCAACCGGACTCCACTCTCGTAGTTTTCCGTGCAACGTCTCAATGAGGCGCTGATAGACCTGGTAGACGCAGAGTGCGCCTTGCACGGCATCTTTGAACAAGTCCTCACCGAGCCCAGAGATGACGACCGACTGGCTCATACTGATGAGACGATGGTTGGATCGGGGAATGCTAGGAACGGCCTTGTCAAGCATGGTGCATAGCATCAAAAAGAAGACTCACTCCATCTTACGAACAGGTGGGAGATTGGCTTCGACGAGATAGCCTTGAAGTGATAGAATGAGCTCTTCAATAGGCTCTTGAGGTGAAGTGCGATGATAGATGAGCGTCATCCGGGTGCCTCGGGCGTCGTCCACAACCTCCCCAACTGCATTGAGAATGCTGGGCTGCCCATAGTATGAGAAACATTCCATGAAAATCCACAGGTACTCACCTCTTTGATGCTCTGCAACTGAGTGTATGGTGCCTCGACTCGATGGGGCACTCATCTCCTTCTGAAGCATCTCGGCTAGCACAAACCGATGAGCACTGTAGAGGAGAAGCTTCTGCAACTGTTTTCTCACCATACTTGGACTCCTCCACAGCGAGCTGAGCAGCATAGAGCATAGTGAATGGTGAGAAGGAGGTGTATGAGCTCGAAAAGTGCGGTGGTGGAAGGCAGGATAGACCGGGTCCCCTCTTCGCCTCTCCTCAGCATGACTATGTTCTCGACAATTCATGAGGAATTTCCAATGTTTATTTGTGCAAAGCTTAGAACTTCTGTCAACTCTGTCAACTTTTTTTAGGCCAAATGATGGGAATGTTCGCTTAGAGAGGGTGGGTTCTATCGAGTGGCGGCTGTGTTCTGCACTCCTTCCACGTCAAACTTTCCCTTTGTGGTATATTCGGTGTCATTGGAAAGCTGTTTCTTCCTGCTCATTTTTGCTGAGCAGAAGAACAATATGAGTAGAAGGAAAATATAGTGAGAATAAAGGGAGTCCACCATGCTCGCTTGAGCTGTAAGCGAGGGCATCGGCAAGACTTGATGTCCCTCTGCGAGGCATCGGTCTGGCCTGTGGTGCGATAAGCACGGACCAGCAAACAGACCAGAAGGTAAACACTGCACATCATAGTGCATTATTTAAACCTGAGCGGGCTCGCCGTGGCTCTCATTTCCTCTCTCTCTCCTCGATTCTCACTATTGCACTCACACTCGCTTTTCTCTGCACTCTTGTCGCTCCCACACTCCCTTTCCAATCGTTCAATCATGCCCCCTCGCAAGGCTACCCGTGGACGCTCTGCGTAGGTCCTGTACGTCCTGCTCTGCAGTTTTTATTAATGTGCATATATAGGTCTGCTGCCACACCCCGGAAGACCCCTGCCAAACGCACCGCTCGTGCTGCGTCCACTGTGCCCCAGACTCAGGTCCCCATTGCCGAGTCCCAGACGGCATCTGATGATGAGACCGCCGTTCAGGGGACTGAACCAATGTGTGTGTATTACTTTATGATGCCGTTCAGCTCACTCACCTGTCCCAACAGCCATCCTCCGAAGAATAAGAAGCCTACTACTCAGCGTGCCTCTCGGGCGACCACCAACACCTCCCACCGTGCTTCTGCACAGAAGGTGATTCCTCCCTCCGACGATGAAGAGAACCCGCTTCAAGACCAGCCTGATCTGATCGAGCTTTCCGACGGCGATGAGGGCTCTGTCGCAGTCGTTTCTGGCAAGACGACAGCGGTCAGAACCGGTCGTGGTCGTGGCCGCTCTAACACAGAGCATGTCACTAGCTCACGCACCCCACCCAAGAGCAGGAAGCGGTCTTCGACGGTCAATTCCTCGAAGTTTACGGTGTACGTGGTTTGTATTTTGAATGTTCTCTTGTCTGATTTCTTCTGCAGCAAGGACTTTATCCAGATGGAGGCCGCTGGCCCCCGCGACGACTCTGAGGACGAGGAGATTGTCGAACCTGACGGATATGTCGAAATCATCACTCGGTGAGTTCAGCCTTTCATGTCGCCATTTTAGCTTGGCTAATGTTGTGCTAGCCCAATGCCCGCCAAGCCTGGGGCTAAGATAGAAAGCAGCGACGGCGAATACATTTGCCCAGACAATCAGCGCACCCCAAAGGCCAAGTGGGTGTACTTTCTGTCAAGTGAATATTTTCTGACAAGATTCTAGACGTTCATACAGCTCTCTGCGTGAAATTCCTCCTACCCCCGAGACTCCATCACCGTAAGTGCTTTTTTCCCACACGTTGATCAAAATATTCACTTGCTTTGCAGGCACAAGCCCTCGGCTTCTCGCACTCCGGTCTCTAGGCACAGGCGCACAAAGTCGATTTTCTCAGGTGTTGAGATGTGAGTTGCTTTTTTTCCGACGCTACATATTGCTGACTTTTGTTATTCTAGCACCACTCCAATTAAGACGGTCAAGAATGTGAAGGTGGTTTCTCCCTCCGAAGATGAAAGGGACCACGACAAGGAGTACCTACTGTCGTCACCCCAGATCAACCCGTACGTGGTTTCTTTTCGCTTCTCAAACTGTGCTGACTTTTCTGTAGGACACCTCGCCACCAGCGAATTGCATCCGGCATGGAGTCGATGAGCATGAGCGGTGACAACTCTGAGGAAGAGTTGTGAGTTTTTTTATGGTTCTGATAAATTTCCCTACTGACACATTTTGCAACAGCTTTATGCCGTCGAAGGGAAAGGCAAGAACAACACTGAAAAGCTGGAGCAGGTTGCTCAGCTCATCGCCACGCCGTCCAAGTCTAGCAAGCGCCCTGCACCCTAGTAGACGACAGTGAGGAGGAAGAACTCAAGTAGTACGTCCATGTTCCTTGCCGGTGCGGTTTTTGGTGCTGATTACAACACAGCTCACTCCCCTCCAAGCGTCGCACACTGTAAGTCTTGGCCCCCATGCTTCAGGGCGTCTCCTGATTATTTACAGAATGGACGACGTCAAGCTCAAGCCCGTTCCCAGGTGAGTATCCTTGCAATAAAATCATTACTACACAGACTAAAAGCTCGCATTTCAGGCAGAGGGACTCTGTCACTGCTCGCGGTACAGCAAGACACTGGCGAGCAACGCTAGGCAGACTGAGCCCTCGAACCTCCTCCGGACTTGTAAGTGTTATATTGTATCTTTTAAGAATGCCCACTCATAAATTTATATCAGCATCAGGTACTATAACAAGTGGACCCCGGTGGTGATGGTCACCGACACGACCTTGATCGAGGATATTGGCGACGCTGCCAAGTTGCCAGACCGGTACGTGTCAACTTCATAGATTATATACCCCTCTCACATCCTCCACAGGAACGACATTGTCCTTCAGATGCGCACTCTTAGCCCCTTCCTCACTGACGGGCTTTTCGATGAGGCCTTCCCGGACCTTGACCCTATGTACGTCTTATTAACTGACTTTATAGAAGGCACCCTCTGATTTAGATATTTTTAGCGCTTTCCTCAAGCTGCTCTCCAGTCCCGGTGATGGAAAAACCGTGGTCAACATCGCTGTGCAGACCCTTCCCTGCTCATGGGGATCCAGAAGTCACCTGGTTCTCCTATTCACAACCTCGGCTTCCGGTTTGGACCGAACAAGGGCCAACAGGCGCTCTTCTACACAGTAGGCGTTGTCCTCCGTTGTGAGATGCGGGCACTGGCATCTACAAGTTCAACACCGGCGAGAAGGAGGCCAAGGGCATCCAGCTCATGCTCATAGGTGACATGGCTTGCTCACGTTATGGTCGCTTCTTCCTTGATGCCTTCGACATCAACAAGGGTGCCGTTCCCATGGGTACAACCAGTTCTGGAACAACGCTACGGAATCTACCCAGATCATCACGTCCTTCTGGGCCCATACCCACCTTGTGTCTCCAAATGTGTCCCAGCCGTCGACTTCCAGAGGTGAGTGTGTCTGTCATTTTACGTGCATCCAGCTCACAAATATTTTTCTGCTCATTTTCAGGGAACACCAACAATCTCTGTGAGTATATCAATTTTGCTTATACGCTCACATGCTCACCCTACACTCCCAGCTCCGGCCATCTCCCATATGGGGATCACTCGCACTCAGAATGTTCGCAGCACCGCCCAGATGATCCGCGCCTTCTACAACAACAGCGACGACTGTAAGTGCATTTAATCCCCTTCTACACTGCATACTAAAAACATATCTATCTAGACCCCATCTTTGACGCCAGCCAGCACTTCAAGGTTGACAACCCCGCCCCCGGCTTCCGCGTCGAGGAGCTGTCCAACCTCCCGATCTACTCCGGCCCAAAGCCGCACAGCAACGAGCTCCGCCTCTATGACCTCGCTCTGGTGTACTTCACCGTTAACACCTACAGCCAGTCTGATGTCGACTTGGCATCTCTGTGAACCTCGCTGGTGCTGTCAAGCTCGGCAGTCACAAGATGCATGATGTTTAGATATCATCAGGTACTTGTCGTCTTGTCATTCCGGACAGTGTTTGGGTTGTCATCCTTGTCGGACAGCTTTTGCAATCATCATCCCAGTTGGACAGTGCTTATATAGTCATTGTCATAGCCTAGTATATACCTCTGCTTCCCACTCTCCTGCTCTATCCAGACTTGTATATTGTTCTAGCTTGCTTACCCTTTTGTCCTCACCGATATCTCCCTCTCCCTCAGTCACGTGCATAATATCTCCTCTGTGGACTTGCTTACATATGACTCTCATGCTCGCTCACCACTCTAGCTGTAGCTCATCCCTCTTATACTTGTCTAATGTCCTCTTGATATCTGTTTCCTGCCCTTGCTGCCTTTAGCAACCTGCATATTGTTCTTCTTTGTCTTTACTGGGGTGTTATCCCACCGTTGTTGCAATGAAATCTGTTGTCTGCCATTTCTGTGTGATAAATATGTCTGCCTTTCTCTGATAATTCTAACTGTCGTCTTGCTGCTGAAATGTGAAATCTGTCTGCCATGATGCTTAGTAATAAATCACATGAGTATGGGATTTTGGTGGCGGTTGAAGTTGAAGTTCAGCTAGGCTGCCTTTGAGCGCTTCTCACTTCTCAACTCGAACCACAATGTCTGCCCACTCTCCGCTCACATTTGCCTTGCTATTGGGCCTTTTATGGCTCATCCAGTGCACATGGCATGTCTCTATGCATGCCAACTACACATCACTTTCTGCAAACCGGTTTGATCCATGCCGTAAGTTCGCTATTATTTCTGTTCACTGTTTCACGTTACTCACACGTTTGCAGATTGTCCCCCTCTGTGTGGATGTATACTACACATCTCAGGTTACACTGGGCACCTTGATTGAAAGCCCCGGGTCCCTTTGGGACGAGGTTAGGATGAGCACCTCTACTGCAAGCTCTGTCCATCTGCGCCTTTAGTCACATCCATGTGATTTATCATTTGCTAGTCGAGAACCATTCAGAATATACACAGGGATATACATATGGCTATATTCAGCCTAATCCATCACATTATTTGACCTGGCATTCTCCCCAGTGCCAGGTCAGGCTGATCGGACTTCGGTTTATGCGAACTTGCATGCTTCGCCATGACTTCTGGGCTGCCATTTGTACTAAATATCACATATATCAGGTGCCAGTAAGAAGCTCTCTGTCTAGCCATTCTCCAATCTTGTTGCAGTGTGGTGGTGCTGTCATTCCCTCTAAGAATGTAGAGAAAATGGTGGACGGCAAGTGAACTTCGAGGTATCCGGTAGAAGTGAATTGATGATGAATATGAACTATCTCTACCACAAATATGTACCTTCTGGTGAAACAGTCAATACTGAGTGTGCTTAATTCGTCAAAATTCCTTTGCAGCACTTGGTTCTCAGATTACAGAAGCCCGACTTGATTCAATTAGCTAAACTCCACAGAATCACACTCACAGTTACAGACCAAAGGCTTAAAAGCAATTTAATCACCAGGCTACAAAACCACACTTGTGTTGCATGTGGTGACTTTATAACGTTGTCGTACCAACTGAGCCGGTTCAGTCTAACAGTAAAAAACAAAAGAACAAGTGTGCCAAAGCTCTCCTACTTTGAATAACCAGTATCAAACCCATAAAGACCAGTTTCCACCGATCCACCTGATAACAGTTGCTTGGAGACATTATCACTGGATTTGCCTCAGACATTCAGCTTGGAACTTCCAAGAGAGCGCCTGTGCAGTCTGTGGCTTATTGACATACAAGTTAGCACTTCAACCCCTCAGCAAGCTTACATGTGATCTAAATATTCTCATTCCAGAAAGGTCTGTTACTAGAGCAGAGCGCACTTCCCTTTCGGATCCTATTTGTGATGTCCAGGAAAGGTGCTTTTGCCAAACTGTGATGATGTCTGCAAATCTTGCGCATCCGATCTACTCTCTGGAAAGCTACCACCAAACAGTCTGGCAAATGGGCTTTGGATAGGTGAGGTACCAGATGCTCTGAAAGACTTGAGCTGGACAGAAAAACTCTTGATCGCACGAGTAAAGCACAATATGTGTATAGTAAAAGTCCAGATATCTGGCATGTCTAAGATGAAGGCAAATGTAGTCAGCCATTCTCTCCCCATGCCTAAAATATATTCTGTACTGCCTCCACCAAGAGATGAGCTTGATGAAGTGCTTGCATTTATATTTCTGGGTCCTAATGTGCCCACAGCAAAGGAATACAAACGCACACCTATGCTTGTTAGGCAAAAGAAAGTCAGTGCTGCACTCGAGTGGCTTAAGCTCAACCATTCTGACTATGCAGATCTGACCATTTCGTACAAAAATCTGGCAGAGTATCCTGAAGATGAGCCTCCAGTGATTGTGAACTATACTCAGACTAAGAGTATGTCTAATATTGATCCAGAGGCAGCTGCAGTGACCGGAATAGAAGAAGAGGAAGGTGTAGACAATGGACAGTGTCCGTTTGTAGTACATGGATTGACCGGTGAGCGTCTTGAACATCTGGGGAAGATCAGACCATATGAAATCAAGGCAAGAGCTGTAGAACACTTTAAATCTGGTGGAAAGGTCTTGGAATTGGTCAGGAAAAAAATCCAGAGAGCATCTATAACAATCCTCAGCTCTACCCACAAATGTTTCCATGGCTCTTTCCGTATGGCTATGGTGGGCTAAAAAACGTGAAAGGCACTATCAATGTGTCTGAAGAGAAGCGGAAGCAGCAGTTGCTGATGTACCATGATAAACGCTTCCAACTTGAGCCATTGTTTCCCTTGGTTGCTTTGAACCATGAGCAAATCAAGCAGTCTACCAGTGCAGGCTATCTTCTTGCTGATAAGAAGCGTTTTGATGAGATTGCACACAGACTGCTGAATATCAGCACAGAAACTGTGACTGAGCTTGCTAATAGGCTGTCTAAGGGAAGTTTTAAACCAGAGACTGAGGAGGAAAAGGCTGCTTCGGCTAAGTGATTTGGACCATGTGAACTACAAGGTGAAAGGATCTATTACTAGTAAGAAGTATATGCGCAATGAGATCTGGGCAATGGTGTCTTATCTGGGTGCTCCCTCCTGGTTCATCACATTTGCTCCCACTGATGTCAAACACCCTCTGGCACTGTATTTTGCAGACACTGATCAGAAATATATGCCAGAGTTCAGACCAAGAGATCAGCGTCTCAATCTGATTGCAAACAACCCAGTGGCAGGTGCCCGTTTCTTCAATGTCATGGTTGACCTGTTCCTGAAACACGTTCTTGGTGTGGGCACTAGTAAACCCGGTTTATATGGAGACACAGCTGGGTACTACGGAACTGTTGAACAGCAGGGCCGTTTGACTCTGCACTTGCATATGCTGCTGTGGATTAAATGTGCACTCACTCCACAAGAGATTAGAGATCGCATTTTGGACCCCACCTCAGACTTTCAGCAGGCTATGGTGCAATATCTAGAGGGCTGCTACAAGAGCGAGTTTTTCAATGGTACCATACAGACTGTAGACAAGCGTGTGACGGAGATCGCCCAGGCAAATCCTACTCGAGTGCCCCTCACAGAGATACTGCCAGAAGTTCCACCTCCATTGTGCTCCGAACAACATGAAACTGCCTCCAAATGTGCTCAGTGCAAGGCCAAAGAAGACTGGTGGATCAAATACGAGGCAGATGTGGATGAAATATTGTATTCCTCAAATGTTCATAAATGTCGGGACAGAATCACTGGGAAAAAGAAAGCCAACAAGAACCAGTTACCAGAAAATGAGCCACCTAAGCCAGCTTCAACTGAGAAGTCAGAGTTTGATAACCGAGGCTGTCGTGACCCAGTAACCAAGGTGTGCAAGGCACATTTCCAGAGAAACACATGAGGCCACTGGGGTTGATCCTGAGTCAGGGCACTTATTATTAAAAGGGTGAGCCCATGCTGAACACATTCACACCGCTCTATCATATCTTTTGCGGTGCAACCACGATGTCACCAGCTTGCTCTCTGCACTGCCATCAAGTCTGTGATTGCATATGTGGCTGATTATATACAAAAACACCGCTAAAAACACATGTGATGTTTCGCTCCGTTGAGGAGGTGTTCTCACGGAACACTGAGCTTTGGCAGTCATAAATCCACCGGAGAAGGCTCGTGGATGATAACAAGATCGTTAATGCTCTTACTGCTGCATCAGAGATTGGAGGACCTATGGCTGCCATGTATCTGTTAAAGCATCCGGATCACTGCACAAATTATAAGTTCAGAATCTGCTATTGGAGGGGATATGTTTTTGAGGTGATGAAAGCCTGGGAAGACTCTGATTCTATTGACAGGGAGGGAAAGTCAAAAGTTATGCTAGGTATGAAGAAATCTGCTGTAAAGTCAGAAATTGTAGTGGTTTCTCCTGTGTTGGACTACATTTGGCGACCGGAAGAGTACGAGTCAGTGTGTTTGTATAACTGGATCAGACTGTCAGACAAGACACATCTTCCAAGACCTAAAAAGAAACATTTGAAGGTTCAGGATGAAATAGATCCTAGCCAATACTTTACCGACAATGACCGTGAATTTGAGGATGACTACCATGTGGACCAGGGATTGAAAAATAACCAAGAGTCAGATGGTGAGGAGGAGTATCCAACTCAGGTGGGAGGAACTGGTGCTTTTGCTTTGAGCAAGAGGAGGAAGAATCTGAATCTGAATCTGATCTAGCATCCGGGGCCAAGTAAAAGTGAGCAGGAGGAGTCTGATGATGAGCTGCTGCTCACAACTGAATCAAATGTGAAACTGGAGAAGGAAATTCAGGCTACTATTTCACAAAAACACTTGAAGTTCCATGCCAACCATCCTCACCATTCCACCCATCATGTCAGACTGATGCCTGAAAATGAAGCTTTTGTTCCCAACTTTGTAGGTGGGTCTCTTCCCCAAAAGATTCTGGTAGCCGTGAGCAGTATTGCATGACCATGCTCACT